AATAACCCAGCAACTGTCAGAATCAGTAACTCAGATTTCTTTTCATACTAAGTTCCTGTTTTGCTTGTTTAACACAAATTGAATTTCATGATGAAGAAATAAAAGTAATATCTGCAGACTGTCCTCCTTTTACAGATTTCTATTCTAAATTAAAATAAGACTAGTACAAATTAAAAGTAGATAAAACATTTTAATCACAAGATAAAGCAAATAAATGGAATTTTACCTGTTTCTCTTTAAAAATAATTAGCAAGTGAAATAGAAAGTTAACAAAAACTCTCCCAAAAATTTAAGAGAATTTAAGAGAAACCAAAACTAGAAATGGAGAAGCACCAAACACATTACAAGAGCATGAAAATAGAGAGAGAAAATAAAGTGCTGAATACTCGGGTGAGGATGAAAAATCTATCGTTGTGTGCAAGATGATTATTATTCTTGGAGTCAACTTTAAAAACAATCACATAACGGCCCCAAGTTTCTTAGATATACCTTAATCTCATGACATACAGCACTTCTCTTACTGTGCCTGAAGCCACTTTGTTTTGAAGTTACTATTACTGTATTATGAGAAACAGAGTTTCATTCTGTTACATTACCATAGGTCAAAACCCCACGTGTCTCATCAAGTATTATGAAACTATCAAGTTTTTCTTGTTGGGCTATCCATGGGTTTTTAAGAATCTTAAGAATTTTAAGGGTGAAAACTTTGGAATTTGCCTCTCCAGTCATGAACTCTCATTGCCTCAAAACACTTGCTATAGTTTCACTTCAGGAACAGAACATATCCTGGAGTGGGGAGGCCATGAAAAACAAAGGATGTCTTACTGTGGAACCTTCAGCAAGAGGCCATGGTGGAATCAACTGTCCTGCACTACACTAGCATACAGTATTACCTGCTCTGACATATCCCTTCCCAAAGTATCTGTGCTTCCAATAACTACTGTTTGTACATAATTTTCCTAGGGAAAGCAAGGAAAGCATTGCTAACAAGAAAGGAGAGAAACAAAGCATGGCCCATCTCTATCCCCCTCTTCTCTCTTTCCTCACCAATGGAGTGGATAAGACAAGCACATACAGCCAACAGCAGCTCTGGGTGGAAGATGACAAATGCTGAGGCAGAAGAAAGAAACCACACAGTATAAAGCAAGACACAGAACACATATAAATAAAAGAAAAAAGCGCAAAAGCAAAGCACACCCCAAACTAAAACCAAACAGTAAAAAAAATCCCCAACACAACACTTAGCACTGCAGACACTAGCAGTTTTAATATTTTTTTTTTCTTCTTTATGGTGTCCATGTAGAATCTTATTACTATATTATTATTAGTTTTTAGGAGTCTTTAAAGTCAGTCAACTGTCCCATACTGGAAATTCTGATTAAGAGTGGAAATCTATCAAAACACATAGCTGTTTACAAATACATAGTTATCTTTTCAACAACATCGAAGTTTTTAAAGTATTAATAACAATAACCAAAACATGGTTTAGAGCAAAACCTAGTTTCATGATGGACTTTCCCCAATTCCAAACTGTAAACTTGTCATGTATTGATACGCTTTACAAGAACTTACATTCAAAATCAATCGTACAATTTAAAACATATTTAAATTTCCACCAGGAATTATTCAAATGTGATATAGAAAAAAAAAAATAAATCAAAGCAGAGTGTCTCATAAACAGGATTTAAATAACTTTTTGAATTGAAAAAATAGTTTAATGCTTTGAACACATTTATCCTAATTTCCTGCAATTTAATTACCTTCACCCTGAAAAGAAGTTACAAATTTCTGGTCCTAGTTAGATACTTACCATGATACCACCATTTTGTTTTCTTTGGATTCTTGTTACATGTTCTTACATAAAATGAGTTATCTGGAGGTCGCCTCTGCAACAGAAGAAAAGACCTACAAATAATCAAACAATCCTCATATTGTAATAAAAGAGCTATTTAATAAGCTTATGAAAGATTACCATGTGAATGCAGTGAAAATGAGGTAACAGACCTTTCTGGTCAAGAAATATATCTTAAAGATCCAGGTAAGAAATGCTTACTTGAGATACTCCAAGAAAATAAAATAGTAAAAAATATCAAACAGCCTCATGATAAATAGGGGGAGAAAAAAAATGAAAAAAGAAAAAGAAACCCAAACACAATAAACAAACAAAAGAAACTAAATCACAAGAAACAGCTGTTGTTCAAAAAACCTCCCAAAATTAAATTCCTTTGCAGTTTGGAATCTAATTCTGATGCATTTCATCCAATTCCCATTCAAAGGTTCAGCTTAGAGTGGATGGAAAAATGAACTTAAGTATTGGTATCTGATCATTATTACATATTCTTCATTTTTCTTCGTAAGTGTCATCATTTACAAAACTCATAGATAGAATACAATAGAAAGCCATTTTGGGGTGGTTTTTTGACTACATATATGACTAGGACTAATTGGGATGCAAAATAAATAGGCATGTTTGAATAGCACATATGGACAAGCTCTGACCACATCTAACTTCCACAGACAGCCCTCTGCGAAAGAAATGGTCAAAAGTGAAAGGGCAATCTCTTTACAAAAATGTCTAAGGTATTAGTGCCACAAAAGCAGCTTAGCACCATTTACTTTCCTGAAATGAAAATTATCAAGTTCACTGAAATAGTACAGATGCAAAGTTAGAAGCATCTGCACTGAAGTCATATCACTAGTCATTCCGCAGTGCCTTTAGAGGAAGGATAATTTTACAAAGAATTGTCCTAAAGCATGATTGAACTTCACAGTTAGTACAACTGGAAGGGTTCCATCCACTACTCTTCCAGTAATGATATATAAGCCGGTTACCATGAAAACAGTGGCAAAGTACTTACTGCACTGTTTATTTTGCAGTTCTAGCTTAGTATTTTCTCAGTAGTAGAAATGTAGATACAGTAGTTTTGCCTATTTTAGAATTTGAGAAATGAAAATTTTACTTTGTAAAGTAGAAAATTACTAACTTTTACTTATTCTACTTCAACAGTGCTAAAAAAGCCCATACCTTTTCTTTGCAGCTGGAAAGCATGCTAATAATGCTAAGACAAACAGATTGCACTGAGAGGGCTGGAGACCAGTCTTCCGTTAGAATGGATAAACAGATATGACCATTGCTATAAACATGAGGATGAACAGGGATATTGTCTCCAGTAAACATGACCTAAAAAAAAAAGAACAAAAATAACTAATTTATAGTCCCCGTTTTAAAGAAAACTGTATTGGTTTGGGGAAAACAATATAATCTTATTTAAGAAGCAGGTCTGCCATTTTCACTTCCACTAAATAATATACTTTAACATGTTGGGGTACTTTAGTTTTGGAAACTATTAAGTGAAATGTGAAATAATCAATGGATGCCTAAATAGCTAGTGAAAATAAACTTAAGTAAATGGTTAAATATAGAGGATTTTCTACTAAAATTTATACAGCATAGAAAAATGCAAAGGTAACAATGTAAAGACAGTGCAAAATCTTGCAGCCTCAGTCTTCCATGCCCTAAGGAATACACCTGTCTAGCCAAAACACTGGATTTTAGTGATTTTATAAGCCACAGTGTTATACAGCAAGAAGCACAAGATTAAAAAAGGAGTATTTCTATAAACCTGGCTGTAACAGAAATAAAATTCTGGACAACTCATCCAGGCTCCAGAATGAAGAATAAAATTAAAATTCATCAATCTTATTAACTATAAACAAAGGACTTGTGAAACCAAAGTATGTTACCAAATAGGAAATACTTTTAAAACATTACTTCAAATAAAAAAGTCTTTATTTGTCATGGAGAATATGGAAGAAAAGTGTTTAGAACCTGAATCCCTTTCTATTAAAAGATACTATTACAGTCCAAAAAAGGCTAGAAAAGCAATTTTGACAACTACTGCTCTTACATCAAGTTTTTGTCAGGACCAATGGAAAGAGAGTAAAACTGCAATCTTCATATCAGTATTATATTCCTGAACTCCTTTTCCAACTCCTTTTATACAATTAAAAAAAATCATAAATCTCTACTACTTGTAACTATAATACTCAGTAGTTTCTTAAGTGTTTCTTCAGCTATATAAGTATGCACAGAAATATGTAAACATGTACACAACACACCCACCTCCTCACTGATGACAAGAAGCAACACCATCATATAGGAAACTGAAATTAGAGAGTTTAATTTATCTGCAAAATGGCAGACAGGTTTCTAAGGTGTAAGAGAAACTGGACGCAGAATGATCTTTCACAGGTCTTTAAACCGGCATTTCTTAAGCATTAAAGGGCTTACCTTCATAATCCTGCAATGTATTTTATTTGTAACTAATATCCTACTTTTAAATGACAACCTGAACTAGGCAGACTGGGTGAATAAAAGCATGCACTCTATGACAGACAACATACATTTAAAGGCAGAAAACATCCAAGTGATTAAAGCAGCACAAGTGAGAACTGTCGACTCACAGTAACTAGATTTGCAGAAGAGGAAATTATGACGAAGAAGTTTGTAGTGCAGAATGACCCTACTGCATAGCAATGTTTGAAAAACTGAAATTACAGCCATCTAAAACAATCCAGTATCCAGTGCTTAAATTCAATTGTTCTCTGTGATAAAATTCAGTGTAGATGTATGGATCTAATTTTCTACTTAACAATAAACTGCACAGAGCCACACACACAGGCTGGGTAATGAAGACAAACAACCTGGAACCAAATTGAATTGGCTACTCTCTTGTGGATCACCTATAAGTAGTACCTTGCAAACCTGATGAGGTGCAGAAGTTCAGGTGGCCAGTTTGTTCTGTAAAAGACTAAAAGTCAGCATTCTAGTGTTTATCATGGTACCTAAAAATATATTCATTTTTATGGCTTAAGTGTCTCTCACAGCTCCATGCTCCAGTTTTTACATCAAGAGAAGTTGCAGAGATAATTTCTAAAACTCTGAGCTGAAACAGATGACAAGAACTAAAGCACTCTTGCTTTTCTCCTTCCTTTTTCAGAAAAACAGAGGTGACAGCTGACCACTACTCTTATGAGCCATATTTTGAAATGTTTCCCATGGGTAATGGAGGAATGGATGTACACACCACATTCCGCAGTCTCTAAATTCAGCTGTCCCTTCAGTTCTCTAGGCTGCCTTGAAAGCAACACAGTATCACATACTTCAGTTATAACACTATCTTGCAGGTCTCTCAAGCACCTCATGTATCTGTAAGAATCCCTATCAGAAGCAAGTGTTTCTTCAGCTGTATTAACAATGGCAGCAGAGAAGATGCAAGAGTCTTAAAAATCAACCAGAGAAAAATATGATGGAAGTAAGAAGGGATGAAGCAGCAGTTTATTGTTTACTTCACTCCTGCATCACAGTAAAGGGGATCTTCCTACTTTACCCTGTATTTCATGACACAAATATCAACATCAAAGGAGCCTCCAGTTTACACTACTTTCATCTGTCCAAGCAGACATCAGAGCCCTATACTTCACTGCAGAATCATTTGTAAAGAAAAGGCATCTGCACAATGTGTTTAACACAAATTAAAGTAAGTGAAGCTGACATTAGGCTATGTGGACAATACAACACTCAGCAAACGTCATACAGCTGTAACCTGAAGGCAGCAGTAAGAGAGGAAGAAGGCATCAGTTACCTGAGGCGAATCAAAAGGATACCGACTACTAAACTTAAATAAAAGCTGAAATTTTTCCCCTTCATAGAGTGTTCCTGGAGCACCTTCCATGTCTACAATCCACCTAAGGAATAGGGGAAAAAGCTGTTAGCATTGTGTACTGAAAAATTAATACCTGTACTGGAGCACTGGACTAATCAAACCAAATATCAATCACAGCAACACCATCTAACTTCTCTTCCAACAACCACAAAGGTGAGCAATACATCAAGCCTGTATCTGAAAAAAACAAGCTTGGTGTTTTGCATACAGGCACTGACATAGTGATGCAAATTATAAATGTAATTATGACTTGAACTATACACAGATCTGTCAGGTCCCAAGAAAAGTCAGACAACAAAGCCAAAAAAAAAACAAACATGCTTGAAAACTTAAATGGTTTGGAAGGAAACAAACTAATACACATTCTCTTTTGTGTTGTTCTACGTTTCTGTCAAGGAAAATATCAACACAGTTTATTAAAATAAAATCTGTAACCAAGGGGAAAGGGCAAAAATCATCTTGTACTTACATCTGTGAAAAACTCAGAAATTAAATGGTATCTTGAAGCTAATGGAATCAAAACTGGAAAAGTTTGGTAGTGTGAAAATTAAAAGGTCCTAGCAAATTAAAACAAAAGCAAATAAAAGGGTAGTTTGAATCTGTAACTAAGATAACACCTCAACATACCAGTATTCTTTTTCCTCTGCTTCTGCTCCTTCCACCATAATAACATTAAAGTAACTGACAGGCGGAGTTGCTGGGGAAGAGGGTGGTGGTGTTGCATGTGGGGGTTTTATTTGGTTTGGGTTTGCATTATGGGTTTTTTAATACGGCTAAAAGCAGATGCTTTGCATATTGTTCAACACATACAGCAACATTCTGCTATTTAACTTCTATGATTTTAGAGTTCTGCTGTTGACCACTTAACACTATCCTTTGCAGCATCACTTCCCCATTTTTGGTTTTTCACCTTTGATGGAGTTTTGCAGATCTAAGCAACACGATAAGGTAAAGAGACTACAAAAATACTCAGATATGGTTTACATCGACTCAAGGAAGGCAGATGAGATTTTGCAGAACAGCAGTGTACTCAGAAAAGTCAGCATCTCCAGCTGGCAGCTCTGATGATCCCATTTTCAACCCCTCCACCCTCCTATATACTCTCCCTCTGTATTTAAGTCATGCATATTTTTTATTTTCCCCTTTATCACTCTTTGGGGATTTTTTGCTGGATGTATTGTTATTGCTTTTATTAATAATATATATTATTATAATAATATATAATAATAATAACAACTGTTATTGTTATTGGTTTTTGGCTTGAGAAATCTGTGTATTTAATACACTGCTAGCTCTCACACCCTTCAAGAAGAATGCATCTTCAACAGTAGCACAGTGATGGCTGTACAGTGAAGGCTGATGAAGTACATTTCATATTTTAACTTTGTGAAGATGCTTTTTATTTAATCTATTTGCACTCCAGATCACTTATCTCTTTCTTATGCCTTCTGCTTTTACAGTTATAAACAGAGTGCACCAATACTCTTAAATTTATTGGTTCTTGTGATTCAGAGCTTCCATTTTCAAGTTTTTAAAATAGTTTACTAAGGAGAAGATAATTTTGCCTGGATATTGCTCCTTTTATGGTCAAGGAATCAGTAGAACCCATATTTCCTGTGTGCTTTACAGTTAAGCCGTCTCAAATTTCTAGTCTTTGTATATTTAAAATGAAAGATTGCTCAATGTTTTAAATGACCCAGTTACATCAACTGATCCAATTATTTTATTCAATATCTTTAAAACCCAAGCAAGTATTGCTACACAAATTTTTAATGCCAATTCAAACTGTAACTTGATTAATGAACTTAAAACAGGCTACCCGATACCAAAAATCCTCAAAGAGAAAAAAAAAATCATTTTACTTGTGACAGGATGCTTCTAAAACAGCAACAGTTTTAAAATCTAGCATGACAGTAAATAGGAAGTTTTTATGTGCAAGGTATTGAAAGGTATAAAAGGCAGAAAGGTATATACAGACAGAAATTACAATGAGGTAGTACTCTGGAAACAGAGATAGCCTTTTCCATCTGCTCTAAACTTTGATTTAATAGTTTTTTGTTGAAATAAGTGAATACCACTTGCAATATTAGACTGACTAATTTTTGCAGAAAACTAAAAACCGCTTTTTTAATTTTAGTCATGTTCATCTGCATGAAGTATCACAAAGGCCAGCATCATTTAAAAGGCAGTGAATGTTTAACTCACTATATATGAGTCTCAGAAGACTCATATAACATGGTCTGAGTGCTACCACCCAAAATGCAGATGTGAAAACATCAGAATTCAGCTCTATGTTTTAAGCTGCTCCATCAATACCCTAGTCCAGAACATACAGTCTGAGATCATACTCTCATCCATGTTTACATGTGATAAATTTTTAACATTTCTCTATAATGAAACTAAGAAAGTTATGAGAAAAAAATACCAACACAGTCTGAATCTTTTGAATTTCTGTCAATTAAAAAATAGATTAATACCAAGAACAACCTCTGTCCATTTCAACAGACAAAGTATATTTTCCATGTTTCTCTTCCCATTTCATGAATCACTGAGAAAACCAAGGCAGGGAAAAAAGTGCAAACAAGTGTACGCAGACAACTTTGCTTTTTAGCAAGTTTTCTCCACTTGCCTTAGAGAAAACCTTAGAGAAAGAAGGTGATGAAAATTAAAAGCCATGACATATATTCTATTAAAATATTACAGAACTCTAAAACAGCTACTCCATTATTTCAATAAATCTAGAAAAGTTTTGGAGGTTAGTAGCTATGAAAGGTAATTAAATTATTTTATTCTAAAAAATGCAGAAGCTTTTACCAATTGACAGTTTGTTAGACAGTAAAATGCCTAATAAAAATTCAGTAGATTTACTACCCTGTTCCTGAAAGTGTCCAACACACTACTCCAATATGCTTACTAAGGAGAACAGTATTTCATTGCCTAGACTAAAAGCAAAATTCACAATGTTACTTGGAGTAAATGGTGGAAGTGTGAAGAGAACTTCTCATTATTTAGTCTTTTCAGCATGATATCATAAATAAAACAGTATATATACTTACTGTGTAATTGAGTTTTGTACACTCTTTTCATCTAGAGTCATTCCCGGAGGTGGATCATTTTGAAATGCCAATAGTTCTTTTTGTAATCGTTTCTATAAAGAAATTGCATGGAATATTAGAAATACTAAATAAAGTTCAACAATAAACATACACATTTAAGCACATTTCATCAATTTTTGAGAGGTAAAAGGAGTTTTACTTGACAATTTAAAAACAAAGTGAAATTGAGAGGTGAGAAAAAAGGATGACTCCACTCCTAGAAATTTAACTGAAAGGACACAGGCAAAATAAGTGACAAGCTTTAAACTTACTTTTTGGGTAAAATGCAAAGGCACTTACGTTTGCAATACTGCAAAGGGAAGATTATTAGGTTGTTATGTTACAAACTACATGAAGGTATAACTGAATTTGTTGTATTACAAAAATATCTATAAGAGCTCTACCCCTAGCAGTGAACATTTCATATTTACACAGCATCATTAGATTTATAATTAAATCTACAAGACTTTAACAGCACAACTTCCTCCTCTAAGTAATCTAAGACACTTCCATTTGGCATCTGTGCAAGCCTTTGCCTTGTTCTAAGTCATCCCAGAGGACAAAACAGAAAACTAAAACAAGACTATTTGGACTGGACAGCACAAACTAAAATCTTTACACTAACTGCATCTTAGAACCTACAGTCACAGCACTTGAGTAAAGTGTTATGGCAGTAGCTCAGGTAATTCTTGTCTATTTTGACAGAGATAAATCGGTCACTGCAACCAGCTGTTTCTATAACAACTACCAGAACAGTTTCTTACAATCTACTGGGCAAGGGAAATGCAACCTCTGTGAAATGTTGTCATTGGCACTGCTCTCAGAGTCAATTTTCTCCATATAAACAGTTATACAATATGTTTTTTCATTTCCAAGCCATCTACATGACAAAGTTCAAGGCTTTCTCATTTCTACTGTCCTTTTTCCTGCCAACAATTTTAAGGTTACTATCTACAAGTTCACTTCAACCACACTACTAGTTGAAATGATCTTATACTCCAAAGGAATAAAAATATGCAATTTAGGGATTTAGTACCTCATTTCCATTCAATATCCCATTTTTTAAAACACAGGTTTACCATACACTTGTAGCTGTTTTCCACTAATTAGTGGAACTTAGAAAAATTCCCATAGGAAAGTGAAGTGTTGATTTGTCAACACAGATATGATTCAGTATCCCATCAAATATATTTAAAGTCAGACTACAATAACCACACAACTCATAAAAAACTGCCCTTATATATTTAAAATTTACATTCTGAAAATACTGGAATAACTTCCTTACAAGCAACCCTGAAAACTTCCTTGGGCTTCTATATTGAAAGCTCCTACCTGGCACTGAGATATAAACAGACTGAAAACCCAATGCTAGCATTTTCATAAGCTGTATACATCGCTCACACACTGAAAAACAAGTTAGACTCCTAATGTTTATCTTTTTCTTTCTGCCCAGATTAGGAAAACATTAACAGTGTTTCCAACACCATTATTATGAATTAAAATGCGAAGGAGCAAAGTTACAAAACCATTTTATAAATCCTTAATTTGAACAGCAGAGATGTTTTGAAATCAATTCTCTTTCTGGCACTTGAGCAGACCACCATCAAAAAAACCTCAAAGGCAGTCAACCTGTACACTTTGTCAAATACGGTATTTTACTACAAACATTAAAAAAGTTCAGGGACGAGAACCTTTTATGGCAATGGTAATTTAAACTCCCCTAAAGAGGAGATTTGGAAACATTAGTTGCAAAATAGCAAAGAACATATGTATATAAGAACAGCAAATAATTCAGTAGATCCATTTACTTACACATGC